ATGAAAAAACATATATATTTTTTATTTTAAGAAAGTATGATTACTTTTATTTTTCCACTAGATTTAAGCCATTGTCAACAACCAACACATGAAATCGATCTAATTAAATTCTACTACTTGCTTAGGTGCTCAACTACTCCATTGTTTAAACTTTAATTTGGTCTACGAGATAATGCCAAAATTCTAATAAATAAGAAAGAAAACAATCATTGTTTAAAAAGTAATAACATTTATTAGCTTTTTTGTAGATAGATATAAAAATTTCTTGTAGATATAAAAAGTAAAAAAAGAGAGTAAGACTTTAAAAAGAACCGAAGAAGTATATTATTACTTCAATTTTTTTCCTCTATCAACCACCACCATCATTAATATTTTTTTACTTCTTCTCTACCAACTATCACTAGTAATTCATTTCCTTTTATAATTATTTTTATTTAAAAAATTATATTCAATATTATCATATTTTACTAAAATATAATTTAGTGAACTTTCTACCAATTTTAATTATTGTTGTGATTTGATTAACTTTTCATATATTTTGTAGCACCATTGATATTATATTATAGTTCTCATTGTAATGGGAAAAGAATATTTTGTTTTTTTAGAATAAAGGTGTGTGCGCGTGTTTGTGTGTGTGCGCGTGCATGCCTGCGGACATGCGGGTGGGTAGACATGTGTTTGTCCGTATGCGTGTGTGTGTGTGTGCGTGTGTGCGTGCGAATATGCATGCATGATTATTGGAGGCAATAATCGATTATTCAATTTAAATTGTGAGAATTCAACGTGTCTCTCATTGAGGAGAGGATTTGTGCATGATTTAGAGAATATATAATTTTATTTAGCTTTAGATTTGAAATAGAGATAGGGTATAACCAAACATTTACTTTTATCCAATCTCCTTTGAGCTATTGGGCATTGGATTGATATTCACTTAGACATACTGCTTTTGGCACCTCCTTTTTTATTTGTTTGCGCTCCTCTCTTCAAAAATGTTCAAAACATAACTAAAGTTAGTAAAAATAATTTTAAATTACTATACTTTTAACATATAACTTTTTGGTAGGTCAATAAAAGTTTTCTAATTTTTTAACCTCTACAAAGTGCACTACCTTAAACCTCAATACAACTTAAAAAAACTCCCCCTTTTAAGAAAATGACAAACCACAATCGTAAATCCTTTTGTTTGAATTGTTTGATACGAGAGTCGGTTCAAACCTTAGGATTGATAAATCCTTTACAAATGTATCAATTCAACCTATTAAGAGGTTGCATGATCATTACAATCATTGATTATCACCATCAACGGTCTCGATCAAACATAAATTTCAACAATCAAAGATTATTCTCTTGTATACTCATAGTATACACTTGCTTTGTACAACTTCATTTAATTTTAGTTAAGGATTCATTAAAGATGAAAAGCATTCTTGTAAAAAAAAAACAAATTTTCGCCTTTGGTACACAAATTATTTTTGGTCCTGGTGCATTAGTAGCTCTAACAGATCTACTGTTATTCTCTTTCAACCTTCTTAGTTTATCATAGATAAACGACTCTAAGTGATCAAACTTATTACATAAGGAACATTTATAGATAGGAAAGATTCAATTTCTTCTTATTATTGAAGTCTTTACCAAGAGATCTATTTAATTTAAACTCTAATCTATTTTTATTTAAGAAAGGCCTTTGATTTGAAATAATCAAATCTAGGTTTTATTTCTCCTTAGAAAAAGTCATCCTTTCTAATAGAACCAATTAGAAAGTCAAAGCCTCTAACTTTGAAATTTGTTGTTAAAACAGTCAGGGCTCCTCAAGTATGGGAGTCTAAAGAAACTTTTCATGGAGAAGGTTTTGAAGATGACTCAGATGATAAGGAAGTGACCTTCATTATTAAAAGGTTTCAATATCTGGCTAAGAACAAGATTCTCTGACAGAAATAGTGGCTTCAGAGGATCTGGCTTCAAAGAAAAGAAGTATGATCATAAAGGTTGCTTCAACTGCAAGAAGCCCGATCACTACATTATTACTGAATGTCCTGAACTACAAAAGGAAAATCCAAATAAAGGAAGTTTTCATAAAGATAGCTTCAAAAAACAAATTCAAGAAAATTCTCATGGCAACATGGGATGAACTGGACAATAAGGAAGACTCTGAAAAGTATTAAGAGTAAGTCAACCTTGCATTGATGGCTCTTACATCTTCTGAAGCAGAGTTCATATTTAATTGCTTTTGTTCAAGATCTCATGGGAAGATGTCAAGAGAAAGTTAGACATGTGAAGATATTGAAAAATCAATATGATCTTTTAAGAGATGAATTAAAATATGTTCAAAATAAAAATGAAGCTTTAGAGAAAGATCATATTGCTCTATTAAAGGAAGGAGGTGTCAGATAAACCTTTTGATGAGTATGAAATGGCTCTTCAAGAATTTATTCTAAATGACTTCAATAGAACTAAACTTACTTCTATGATTTATGGAGTAAGTAGAAGCAAAGGGGAAGGTCTTGGTTACTCTAAAAGATTTTTTAATCCAAGAGTAAACCAACAGATGCATCCTCTTCAAGCTCTGCTCAGAAAGGGCTTGACTCTTATTTTGTACCAGTTATTAAAAATGTAAAGGTTCTGATTCAGTCAGAACCTAAAGCTGATGAGTCGGGGGTTCTAAAGAAACCAGAGTCTAAGACTTTAAAGTCAAAGGTTCTGAAGAAGTCAGAACCTAAGATATCAAGAGCTAAGGTTCTGAAAGGCTCAGAACCTAAGGTCAAGGTTCATTCAAGACAATAAAATTTTAAATCAAAAGTCTTGAATAATACTAAGCCTTATCATATGAATGCAAAGTTAGGAATTATGGGATTTGGAGGAAACCCAAAAGAAAAGATCACTAGTATGAATATTATTGGTAACTCCTCTATTTTAATTAATAATGTTTGACTTGTAGTTGGACTTAAACATAATCTGCTGAACATTAGTCAATTTTGTGATAATGGTTACGAAATCATGTTTAATAAGAACAACTCCATAGCCATGAATGAATCTGACAAGTCATAAGATGTCAAAGCCAAAACAATATTCATTTCAACATTGAGAGCATTTTCAATAACTAGATAAATACACCAGTGCAAAAAACTGAGTGAGAGAAATTCTTAAATACATCGTGTATTTTATCTTTCTAGTAATTAAAAAGTCTACAGCAGCCCATTTCAAATTCTATGTGTTATTATTTCGTATTTATATCGCTATTTTACAAATCTGACTATGAGGAAATGTTGTGTAGTTTCCTAACATCATACTTTTGTGTTTATGTTTCACTACCAGTATTAACCGTCTAAATGAGATAATTCTAGACATATCTCATTTGAGTTGTTACAATTCCTAACAATAGTAAAATTTATTGCAATAAATATTTATGATAAATTATTTGGAAGTAAATATACAACGGGGAGTGATGGATTTTTTAGGATTCTAAGCAATAACACAGAGAGTAAGTAAACCTTGACAGTTTGTTACAGTATTTAGCAAAGAGAAAATTTTATATATTGCTCGTGGAGACCTGATGACTTGAACAAGTCTCAAAATAAGCTTCCATGGGATTATAAACAAATTGACTACCATGTTGCATGACTGAAAAGGTTAACAAAAAGAAAATGGTTAGCTGCAGATTAATCTAAATCCACTGGTATGAAAGCAATAGAAATAATGGAATATAACTGTTTTGTTGTATGTTTTAGACCAGACAATAACTTGTGCAATCTCAAGTCTTTAGATGAGTCACTATCAGGAATAGAGGGGAAGAACTATGTACACCTGTTCATTTGCATCACTATGAAATAATGCATTATTAACAGTTGGGAATTAGGTTGAAGATATTCATAGAGGAGAAGAATTATGCACACACCTCTTCATTAAAGTCACCATAAAAGTTAAGAAGCACAGACTAACAGTTAGGAATTAGGTTGAGAATATTCATCATGGTGGTTGTAATGCTGTTGACAATGATCAGCAAAAGTTAAGAAGCACGGACACACATACAGATACAATATTGACACGTCGATAAGTAATAATTTACGAAATTGAAACTATTAAATTGAATGTTATCATATATGTCACTCTTGGGTACTGCACACACCTTCAATTTAAAGTATTTGTGCTACATAGCTATGTTATCAAACTCGGCCGTTCTTGCCGTTATCTCGGCACGAAACAACAAAAACAAGAAAACTGCGTCAGACCATGTCTGGCACAGATGGGTGACAGCTTGAACAGCCGCAATAATGGGATTGGTTAAGAATGATGCTGCACTAGGTAACAATTCAATGCTTTTTTATTGAATTTTATTGGCATTTCCAAGTATATTTTGCTTAAGACTAATGACTTTCATTTCTATCTAATAATACTTCATTTATTAAGTAACTTATTTTAATTTTTAACAATTATGTGTTTATTAGTATTACCTATATTAGTGTTCACTTCACGTCACTAACATAACGCCCAACACCCGTTCTGCTCCATTTTTGGGGATGGTCGTACCGAGCCGCTATCCGAGATTGATAAGATAGCTACATAGTCAACAAAAAATTAAATCAAGTGCTACATAGTCAGCAAGAAATTAAATCAAGGTGTATGTTGGTAGAAGAGTTGCATCTACCTGACATTAGGATTCAATAATTCTTATTTTTATGCAGTGCTATGCAATTGCTTCCCAACATTATATAATCTTCATAATCATGAGAAGGATATGATAATGGACTATCAGGCAGAGCTTGAAAACAGTTATTGTTAAGTGCAGTTTATAATCTTAAGTCTAGCAGACTTAAGATTAGACACATGAAATTCAGCAACCACTCAAGGAAAATCTGATTTATGGATTGCTTTTACTGAAAGAAGGATTATAAATTATAAATAAATTACTAGTCACATGTTCTAAACTAAAAGTTACATGAAAGTGTTCAAGAATCTTTGACAATCTATAAACCACTCAAAGGAAAAATGTGGTCTTTCTTTTACTACAAGAAAGAACTCATCTGTGCAAATCTCTGAGCTTTATCTAGTTGTCCATATCGAGTAAGAAGTCGGACCATTACATCGAAGTGTTCCTTAGATGCTTTAATTTCATATTTCGGCATTAAATTGAAGATTTTATTAGCACCATTCACAAATCCAGCTCTTTCACATATAGATAGAATGACTCCAAATGTGAAGTGGTTTGGAGAGAAACCATTTGATCTCATTTTATGAAAAAGGTCAATTGCACCTTGATAAAATTCGTTGTATCCGTAAGCCCTTATAAGAGCAGTCCACGTCATTGAACCTTTCACAGGTACTGCACTAAACACCAAGTTTGCCTTATCAACATCGCCAAAACTGCCATACATATTGATAAGTTCTGCAGAAACAAAATGGACTGATGCGAAATCCCTTCTTAAAATCTGCCCGTGAATCTCCTTCCCGAGCTTTAAAAGCTTTAGCTCACCGCAAACACTCAACATCCTTGACATCGCAACCGAGTCCGGTCGATTTCTTGACAACTGCATTGACCTTATTACACCAACTGCTTCATACGGATACCCATTTTTTATGTACGAATTGATCATGGCTGTCCATGAAATCACATTCCTTTGCTCCATACCCTCAAACACTCTTCCGGAATACTCAACTACGCCACACATTGAATACATTACCATCAATGAAGAAGATATAGATACGTTAGGAAGAAACCAGTGTTTCAAAGCATAAGCATGAATCTGTTTCCCTTCTTCCAAGGCCCTCAACTGAGCACATACTGGAAGAGCAGTGCCAACTGTTACCACATCAGGTCTAAACCCTTCTTGTTGCATCCAAATTATAGACCTCAGTGCTTGCTGTAGTCTTCCAACTGAAGCATAGCCTGACATAAGAGCGGTCCAACAAACTACATTTCTCTCCGGTGAGCTATAAAAAACACTCCTCGCAGACCCCAAATCTCCGCACTTGCAATACATATCAATCAAAGCAGATTGAATCGGAACTTTCTCTGAGTACGATTTTGTCTTTATTACATAAGCATGAACTTCCTGACCTAACCTCCTTTTACAAATTTCGCCGATTACAGGAATAACAATCGTCATTATAACCGAATTTGGGTATATCCCTTCGTCCACCATCCACTTAACATATTCCAATACTTCCCTATGCAACCTATTGTGTGAAAAGCCAGAAAGCATAGTTCCCCAAACAACAACATCCCTCTCGCTTTCAGGAATTTCCTCAAACACTCTTCTGGCAATCTTAACCTTACCACACTTAAAATACAAATCAATCAAACAAGTCCTGAGAATGTCACTATCAACCAAACCATTCTTGATCAAAAGTGCATGAGTCTTCAATCCTTGATAAAACGCGGGAGCAGCGGCAAAACTCTTGATGACACTAGAGAAACTATAAATATTCAACTCAACCCCTAATTCCCTCATCTTTGAATAAGTCTTAAGCACATCAATGTACTGTCTTTTCCTACCCCCAGAAACCACAGTCCCTCTAAGCAAAGCATTCCAAGGATACACACTACTCTGACACGGCAATTCATCAAACAGCTTCAATGCATCTTCTGAAGAGCCGCAAGAAGTGTACATTTGAACAAGTTTTGTGAGCAAAAATGTATTTTTTTCGAGACCATTGATTCTGATATGTGTATGAACCAGTTTTCCTATTGACAGCGAGTTTGTGCGGATGCAAGCAGCGATGAGCGAAGAGAAAGTGGTGGCGTTGACTGGAATACCTCGTTGGTCAACATAATCCAAAATGGCGAGAGCTTCTTTGAGTTTGTTTTGGCGAGCGAAGTTCTTGATGTCTTTGTAAATTGCAACTGGGTTTTTGTTGTGGAGTGGTAAGGAACATGGGAATGCATCTTTTTCTGCAAATTTCTTCTTGGTGATGGTGAATTTGGGTACGTTTCTTGCAGATTGATTTTGATGGGTTGTTGTTGGGGTTTGTGAGGAAGGTTTGAAGTTGAAGCCATTGAAAATGTTGGGTTTGTGGTTTGGTGGAAAACGTAGGGAGAGAGAAGAAACAGAGTTTTCCATGTTGAAATTATGGTTTAAGGTTTGAGAGAAATGAAATCTCTGTTAGAGGCTTGTGTCGTTCGTGGTAGATAATGTAATTTTGAGTAAAATATGTTTTTCATTATTTATTTATTTATTTATTTTTATTAGTTTTCATTTTACTTTTTAAATGTTTTTAAAATTGATTAACCCTATAGTACACAATTCACATAATTTTTGTTCATGTATAAGTTTTTTTTTAAACAAAAACAATTCATTAATTTTTGAAAATTTTCTTAAAGGAATGAATTACACGTACTCATTGGCAAACGCCCAGGATTTTAGTTATTTGGTTAATGATATTTGAAGGTGAGAAAAATACACAAGAAGAAGGTTAAATTGTGTTTCTCTAATTTGCATTGTTTTTTTAATGGAGTTCGGATTCTAAACAAAAGTTTAGGTTCTGATAACAAGTTGCACCGGAATAATAATAAAAGAAGTAAATTACACGTGAACACACATAGATTTATTTTGGTTCCTCTCAAACTGAGAGTAGTTTAGTCCACTTGTAGCACAAGAGACTTTCACTATAATCAAATCATGTTTACAATTGTTTATACCCTCGAGCATAAGACTTTTCCTGCTAAGACCTACATCCTAAGACTTGTCCACTCAACGAGCATTTGATCAAGACTTCCAGCTTAGATCCTCGGATTCTAAGACTTTTCTGCTTATATCCTCAACTACAAGACTTCCTGCTCAGACTCACAAGATAAGAATTTCCTACTCAAATTCCACAGTTTCAAGACTTCCTGCTCAAACCCTTAATCTAAGACTTTCCTACTCAGATTTCACGAATCCAAGAATTTATGCTTAGACCTACAGTCAAAGACTTCCTTGTTTAATAAAAAATTTGATCAAGACTTCAATGCTAAAGCACATAGCAGGAGACTTACTTGGCTCAAGCTCACAACAAGAATTTGATGGCTCCCCGAACGTTCCTGTAGTCGGTCATAGCCTCGATGTCCTCCAGATGATCGTCTAGATCCGAGGTGTCGTCGTACGTCGAGAGTACGAGTGGTTTCTCCATCCCGTGGGAGATGAGGGCTGTCATGATCTCCCGGGACAAGGGGGTCCTGTAGTCGTCCTCGTCACTGGGAACTGGGGACTGAGGGGGAGAAGACCCGTGTCGAGGAGGTTGGTTCCATACCCTCGGTTGTCTGACGGGGGGTTCTAGCCCCGTCGTCCTCGGCTCCTGGGCTCGCCTCTCCATCCGGGTCGGTGACCTTACTCACTTCTTGGAGACCACGGGTTGGGGCCTCTCCAGCTGTGGTCGGTGTCCCCGCGGTCGGGGAGACGGACTCCTCGAGTTCCTGCGTTGATCTCCCCGCGGAGGGGAGTCGGACGAGGTGTCGTGTTCTAGCGCGCCTATGCGCTCGTTCTGCTGGAATAGCTTTGGTTCGTCTGGTTGATGGCTGCGAAGAAGGAAACCATCGTCGGGTCAGCACCGACTGGTGTGGGAATGGGGTGCAATACCGCCGGACTTCTTGCTCGAGGAACGACGTGAGGGTCGTCCTCGGAGGAAGAGGAAGCAGTCTGGCCGTCCCTGACGTCGGCCTCGCGAGGTTGAGACGTCCTCGTCTGCTGATCGCCGTTGGTGGACGGCGTGACGTCGGAGTTGTGGACAGCATCTTCGTGACGTGGGCTAGTCATGATTCACGAAGTTTGAATGGAGGAAGCTTTGGTTCTCTTCCCGGAGGAACGGGGAAGCTTAGATTCCCACAGACGGCGCCACTGATCTGACCTGATGAGAAAGAAATCAGTGACCTGCCACGCTTCGTTGATCTGCTGCCTGTTCACCGGATTATGAAAGAGGAAGGAGGTGTACCTGCAAGACACTCTGATGCCAAAGTGAGAGAGTGGACCAGAGTGAGACAAATACAGAAGAAGGTTGAGAATAGAATAACTGACCCTTTTGTGAAAGAGGGTATTTATAGAGAGACCCCAGCGTAGGGCCAACGGTCACTTGTGTTGGGCTGGATTGTCAGGCCCAACCCAGGTGATTGTTAGGGCTTACGTGGCGTAGTGAATACCAGCATGTGGTATTCTCCCTAGTTCAACCGTCTCGTGATCTCTGGAAGGTGGGTTGACCAGCTCTTTCGAAGGTGGGTAGTTGGCTGATGACGTGTCCCCGGGGAGGGGGGACACGTGGAGAACGTGGGGAGGACACGTTGTTCTGCTCGACGGAGGGAGAGTTCTGCCCGGCGAGGGCAGTGTCTGGTCGACGGGAGCTCTTGTGCTCGACATTGGTGATTTGATCCTGTTTGGGCCTTCCCCATATACCGTTGGGCTGGGCATGCCCGGTCAAGCCGGGGCCCAGCCCAGAACAAAAATAAAAACTAAAGTAATTATGTTCTAAATAAAAAAAATGGCCGCATGTGGCGCATGCATTCATGTTTTTGGCCTAAGGTAAGATATCTCTCTCTTTGAATAAAGAAATTTGATCTCTCAAATTTAATTTAAATTTATAATTTATAATTAATAAAAATTATAATTATATTATAAAATAGACATAAATAGTCTGTTGGTCCCTGTAAGTTAGAGAGTTTTTGAGTTGGGTCTCTATAATTTAATTTTTTTGTCCGAGTCCTTATATCTCACTTTTTGCATGTGATTTAGTGCCTAAAGCCAAAATCTATAGGAAATTTTCCTCTAACTTACAGGTGCAAAAAGTGCATTTAAACCTCTAAAATGTATATGCATTGTAAGAATGATGTTAGATAGTTTATAAATAAAATAAAAATAGTGTGACATATCAATGAGTTGGGTTCACGGATTGTGGATTTTAAACTTTAAACCTGTTACCTGAACCAAATACCAATGAGTTTGAATGGATTGGTTCGGGTTGGGTAAAAATAAGGGTTGGGTTGGGTTTGGTAAGTGGGTTTGCGGGTTGGCTCGTATCCATGGACACCCCTACATGCATGTATCATTTAGGAGCGTGCGCCATAACCAGTGACTACTACGTTGTTTTGTTTTGTTTTGTTAAATTATTTTAACAAAATAATGCAAAATAAAATGTGTAATAAAAACATTATAATATTATTCCGTCAAATAGAATTACACAACAATTGAATAGAAATTTAAGGATTCGCTCGATCGTAACGTCCATCAGTTCTACACTCTGACACATTCGTTTGCCTTCAAGGTCTCCATGATTTTCCTGAGATGTTTGGAGTCTCCTAGTATTCACTTGAGCCAAAGATGGTTGGTGTGAGGTTCTTGGTATATTAGTGTCATCTAACAAATCTTTGATCATATCTCCCTAGTAGTTGGTGTTGTCGTAATTAAGTTTGGTGCCCATGTTGTCATAATTGGGTCGTGTTGGTTGGGTTACGTGTGGACGAGTTGATTGGTTGAATTGGGACATTGAACTATTTTGGAAACGAAGCAATGGTTCTTGTGGTGTTTGAAAGACATGTGTTGGTTGGGTGTTTTGGCTATGTGATGTTTGAGTGCTTTGGTGGTGTGATGTTTGGATGTACATTGGTTGAGTTCTATAGTGGGATGTGGTATGCCTCATCGAGGCTATAGTAAGATTTGGTGGCGGCATATGGTTGTTGGTGGTATGGGTCATTCTCTTGGTTTTGTGTTTGGTTGTGTGGCATAAATTGGTTGCGGGGTTTGGAGTATGTGGATTCGCAACCATGTTCGATTGGTTGTTGGGTGCTTTTGGCATGGTGACATTGTGAGATTAGTTGTTGGGTTTGGGTGGGTTGACAATGTTGTTGGTTTTCATAATGTTGTAAGGTATGTTGTTGGGCGGGGGTTGGTTGTTGGGCATATGATGATGAAATTCGTTGGCGTAGGTTGATCAAATACCTCGGGTCAGACACACACTGTGTCATTTTAACCGGCCTATACTAATTCATATGATTTCAAGTTGATCTAGCATCCTACATGATAGGTTCGGTTATGATTCGTTAATGTCACTACTTTCATTGACAACACATCTCCCTAACAAACTCTTTCCAATCAGAAATGAGTGTCTTCATTGAAAGTACAAGTGATCTTTGAATTGGCTTGGGTGGATCATGACCCAAGTTTGATAATACAAGCTTTAATCACCAAACAAAAGGGAGAAGAAAAATCAGAATTCAATCATTCTTGTAAGAACAAATGCACAATTCAAGACATACCATTGAATTCATGACAAATAAATCCAGCAGAAAAACATAAACATATATCAATGGATATGAAAATTAGCAGAGAGGATAAAAGATCAATTCGTAAAGCACAAATTCAGAATATAGATATGTTAGAACAGAAACCCTAATTCAAATAAATTAAAAAGTGATACGAAAAATGCAAACAAATAACGAAATTTGATCACATAGTTCGGCCAATTGTACCTACATTTCCTGATTAAAACATGTGTTTAAGTTGTAGTTATCAACAAACTATGAGTCAACCATAACCAACAAGATAGCATTAAGAAAAGCAGGAAGATCAATTCAGCAAAATTCATGACAATAAAAATGAAGCAGGTATCAAAAATGAATAGAAATTACATCAAGTAATTGAAGAAGCAGATCAACAGAAGAAGACGTCAAGTTTTTGGATAGTTTTCTTCCATTTCTTTCAACATGTCTAAGCATCTTCCCTGTATCTCTAGGGGTGTTCATGGATAACTATTTAATACGAACCAATCCATTTTTATGGTTATGGTTTATAAATCAATCCATTTTTATGGTTATGGTTTATAAACCAAACCACTTGCTCTGAACCGGTTTAAAACCGGTTCTAAATGGATTTTGATTTTAATTCAAATTATTTAGTTAAATTTAAATTTAATTTTATTTAAATTATATTAATTTTTAAATTTAAATACTTAGATTTTAATATATTTTTTCTTTGAAAATAAAAAAAAAATTTTAAAAATTTTAAAAAAAATCTAAAAATTAAAAATAAAACTGAAAATAAAAAATTCCAAAAAATTATATGGACTTAAAATGATAACTAATATGTTATAATACATATAT